ACTGAATCAAGGGAAAAGTGGTGTAAGGACTTCTCCTCCATTGAGAAAGGAGCGGCAGTAACAACATGGATGAACTGCCCTGCACTGCCCCATTCCCTGTCCCCCTGCACCACCGGGGGGAAGGTAGAGCCAGGAACAAAAGGAAATAGGAGGTGGGGAGGTGTTGTTTTAAGATCTGGCCTTGTTTTCTCTTTCTCCTCTCAAGTAACCGGTTTCGTTCCCTTGTGTCTCCTGTTAAGTAACTGTTAATAAATTGTTCTGTTTTATGAAGAAAGCCTGAGTCATGTTTTGCCGGGACCATGGTTGGTGGGTGCTCCCTCTCGGTTCTTGTCTCGACCCTCAGTCCAAAAACCACGACAAAAACAAAATTATCAAGTTCTTGACTGAGGTGGGCTAAGCACTCCATTACCTCATTCCTCTTCACCTTCCACCCCTAAAAAATAAATTTTAAACTCTCCAACTTCATTCTTAAAGCTACTGAAGGTCACTTTCCCTGTCTGACAACTTCCTTGAGTGACTGAGGTTTGTTTTCAGCACAAATCACACCCTTGTTCTTGGTTCTGGCAGAAAGGATGCCCTTTGTGTGGTTGCCAAAGGACTTCATGGCTTTCCTTCCCTTTCTTCTCTGTCCTTTTCTTCCCAGACTCTGTGGTCATGCTACAGTAATCTCTACAGGATGGCTGTAACGTAATGAATGGAGGTTTTCAAGTCAGATCTCAGTGAAATCCCCCTTGGAAATCACCAAGAAATTCCTTAGTTGGTTAGGATGGCTGCGGAAAAGCATGAGGCCCCTTCCACACCATAGGTCTTAGAAGATCTAGGTCTCAGTTAAAATAAAAACCATGGAGCTCTTCTAGCTGTTAAAAAGAAGAGCTGACTCTGTCCCAGCTGAAACCAGGACACCTCGCCTCGTTGCCCTTCCCTCGCCTCACCTCACAGTTGCATCTCCTGGCCTCGCCACTCCTCGCCCTGCCCTTGACTCGCCTCGCCTCACTATTTCCTAGCCTAGCCTTGCACTTGCCTTCGCCTTGCACTTGCCTTGCTTTTCCTTTCCCTCGCCTCACCTCGCCCTTTCCTTGCCCTGACTCTCCTTGCCCTCGCCTCACCTCGTCTCACATCGCCTCGGCTTCCCTCACCTCGCTTTGCCTCGCCTGCCTTTCTCTTGCCTTGCCTCACCTCGCCTCGCCTTCTATGAAGGCATTTCTGTGTAAGGTCTTTTTGTGATGAGCTGTTGCAGGAGAGAACCTGGTGTGATATTCATTTCAGGAAACTTCATGCTCCTAAGGAAGAAAGGTCTTATTTCCCCAATTGCATCATAATCATGTGTTTGCCCGTCTCACCCCTCTTGCCTTTCAAAACTCACTGACAAAATCTCTTCTCAGGTGAGAAACTGTTTCTTGAAGATCATCAGCCTTCTCTTCAAGCCTGCCTTGAGAGCATCTTCCATCAGCTGGTTCCTGGGGCTGAAGATCAAGGGACACATCAAAGTAGTGACCACTGTGTTAAGGGCCACAGTCTTGTTATAGGAGATGTGGTGACTCGCAGGATGGACTTACAGGAAGATGTAGCTACGATAGACCAAGATGACAATGATGAAGTGAGAAGAGCATGTAGAGAATGTTTTGTGCTGTGAGGGAATGGAGAACAAGCTAAGTATGGTGTTAATGATGTACAGGTAGGACACTGCTGTCACGTTCACTGTGTCCAGGAGGATGATGGACAAAGGTATGAAGGTGATTAGCTCAAAAATCTGTGTTTCTGCCCAGGACAACTTGATCAAAAGCACGCTGTCACAGAAAAAGCGGTCAAATCGATTGGCATTGCAGAAGGGCATCATCTTGGCGACCAAGACTGTGAAGACAACGGTGGCCAGGAAGCCCGCAGTCCACAAGCCCAACAGTAGCCGAAGGCAAGACCGTTCATGAGCATGGTCTCTGAAGATGGTGGCAGATGGCCACGTAATGGACATGGGACGTGACAGTCAGAAGAAAAAAGTTGATGTAGCCCAGAAGGGAGTAGAGGTAGCCCTGAGTTGAGCATTCTGGGTAGGAAATGTCTTTGCTGCCCATCAGCAAGTTTCCTATGGCTTTGGGTGTGAAGGATGTAGTGAAGAAGATCTCCAAACAGGAGAGGTTACAGAGGAAACGTACATGGACCTGTAGAGATCTCTTTCAGCAAGAACGAGGGAAACGATCAGCAGGTGTCCCCCCAAGATCAGCAGGTACAAAGCCAAGGGAGTGATTGCCATGAGGTGCTCCAGATGGTGGAGGGAGGGGAAGCCCAAGGGAAGGAACTCTGTGACAGTCGTGTGGTTCAACATTTCTACTTCTGAGCTGCAGTGAGGGAGGGCAGATGGTCAGTGGAGGAAACAGTGCTTCAGGAGGTTTAAAGATGAGACACAATGAAAGAATGAAGAAGAGTGAGAAAAGAGATTCATGGGGACATTCAGGCAAAGGCTGGGAGGAAAACAGAGGAGAGGAGAATCATCCTGGAGCAAAGAGACATCATTTCATGCACTAAGAGCAAACTCAGTGTGGGGGTTAGGGTAGGAATGCACAATGAACAATATGGAAGTTGTTGTGTTTGAGCTTTTTACCCAAGAGTCTCTTTACAGTCAATGGAGAAAAAATGGGCTTTTTCTCATCCATTCTTCCTCTAGTTAATTCAAACAGATCTTGCAGTGAGGCGTTCTCTTGGAAAACACCTCAGCAAAGTGGCTTTCACCTTTTGATTAGGAGAGAAATGGAGAGAAAGCGGCTTGAGGATGGTGATAAGTGAGGAGACGTGTGGGAAGTGAAGGCAAAGGGACAGTTTGAGAAGAGGGAAGTTTTACTCTCTGGGAAAGGTTCGTTTTTCGCTCAAAACCAGAGCCAAAGAGGGAAAAGACAAACATCTTGTGTTTAAAGCTCTCCCGTTTTCAGGACTGTCTTTCCCTCCACGCTTGCACTGTGCCAGGTAGAACAGAAAGTTTTGTAAACAGATTCCTCCTCAGTCACTGACAGCTTCCCTGCTGAAAAATGTCCATCCCCAGGCAGAGCTCCATGGCTTCCTGCTGCTCTCTCCCATAAAGGGCAACCTCCCCTCTGAGTCCAGACCTATGGCTTTGTCAGTCCCAGACCCCCAAGACCCACAGTTTATCTAAGAAGGGGTATTTGTAGTGCCTTGCAATTCCTCTTGCTGTTGTCTTGTGACAAATGCCACAACCAAGATGAATCAGCCACATGCAAACATGAGAAGCTGAGCAAATGGTGCTTCAGTCCATGGGGACCTCGAGAACATCTGGGGTTCAACAAACAGAAATCTCTTCAAGTGTTACAAGGACAAGTGGCCAATCCTGCATCAGTTGGTGGTGGGGGATTGGGAGGGAATAACCTCATCCATCAGGATAGTCTGGGATCTGTCCAGTAGAGGAGTGACTCTGAGGAGAAGGGCCTGGGCACTACAAGGGATGCCCTATGAGCCAGTAGAGTGTGGACACTATGAACAAGGGCAGATGCAGTGTATCCAGCCAAGGTGGAGTTCAGAACCTAGTGCACATGACCTGTGTGGGGTGGCTGAGGGACCTGGAGTTCTTTAGCCCAGTGATGTGGAGGCTCCAGGAAGTATAGGAGTAGCCTGAGAGTGCCTGAAGGGTGGTTTCAGAGATGATGAAGCTTCTCTCGGTAGTAAGAAACAGCATGAGAAAGAAATAAGGACACAATGGACAGCTAGGGAGACCCAGACTAGACATGAGGAAGAAGAAATGTCACTGGAAAGACAGTGCTGTGGTGTAACAAGTCGCTCAGAGGGAGACTGGATCAGCCCAA